TGATATTTTTATTTACAAGGATATTTTTTTCCATAGATTTGCTCTTTATTTTACTTATTAAACCATTGGACAATCAATCCGAAAAATCTGCGACGTGCATCTGATTGTCTATGTGAGTCTGTGGGTCTGTGTGCAAGTCTGTGGGTTTCTGTGCGAGTCTAGGGGTTCCTGTATGCCTGATTGTTTAAGTTTCCCAGATTTCACTGCCCAAAGATTTGGAACCACATATCGTTTTTTGGCATCTCAATTCTGCCATCTAAAACCTCGCTTAAACTGACTCTAATAATCACTAAAGTTTGAGTGGGAATGCAATTTTACAACAGAATTGGTAATAAGTTTATTTTGTAAACCTCCAATTTTTGAATGCGTTGATGTCTGCCCGCCATGTCGCCCTTAAAAAAATATCGTCTAAGCTCAATGGGTGTTACTCGTGAAATTCACTTCTGATTGTGAGTGGGCCAGTGAGTTTGGGTAAGTGGGAGGGCGAGTGAGAGGGCGAGTGGGAGAGTGTGAGTAGGTGAGTGTGCTTGTGTGGGCGAGTGGATGGATGAGTGAGTGGATGGATGAGTGAGTGGGCCAGTGAGTGTGCTTAATTATAATTAAATGCTTTGATGTCTGCCGGCTGAGTCGCCCTTGAAAATAAGCGTATTAGTTCAATGGACTGCACTCGGAAAATAAACATATTCTGACTCTGAAATAAACTTATGGACTGGTATCGTCCAAATATTGCAATGCTGAATAAATGCCTCCAGTTTACTCAATCGGGAATACGCGAATAAGCATCGCCCCTCCCCCCGACTGCCAAACCAACTCGGCAGGACGCTCCTGAACTGAAGTAAAGAGACTCAGTGTGATAAAGCACTCGAGTGTGCACCACGGTGGAGAGATTTGCACTACATCGCCCGGTATCCAACAGGTCGTGGGTTGGATCCCGACGCTGACGCGTGTTTATTTGAAGTTTGCGTGTCTCTCTTTCTGCGTGGTCGCGTGGATTTGAACTCCGCTTTTCCCCTCCAAATTTAGAAACTTGAGTTTAGAGCATTTGGCTGCTGTAAATTTCCACACGATTACAAGCCACTTCGTTGTGGGCAGGTCGCTTCTGAAATAGAGATATATAGCTCAAAATAGAAATATAAAAACGTGGTTTTAAAGTAGTCAGCCAGGTGAGGACAAATAAAAATTAACAAAAATCAAAGCAAATACAATCAGGCGATGGCAGGAGGCAAGCCCAGCATGGCTAGGCCACGCTTTGTAACGTTCCAATCTGGACATCTATTCCATACTCGCTGCTACACTCAATTGAGATCCCGAGGAGAATAATCGAAGAAGCGAGGCTGCACCTAAATAAACAAAAACAACCACCACCAAAAACCACGACCACCACCACGATGTGAACTTCTTACCTCGGATCTCAGTTGAGTGGCGAGCAGCTTTCCGGGATTTCGTGACGTCACGCAGATTAACGCGGCAGGGGAGATGACATGACGTCACGAGCGAGTTATCCCTCCCACTTAATAGATTATGTTGAAGAGCCCGGCCCTGACATTGAATGATTTGGAGTGGCTGCTGAACCAGACATAGTGAACTCGCGACAGATTTAATGGTTAAATTAAATTAATGAAGCAGGCCCTTATGGGGAGTGATTGTGCGTGGCTTTGCCCAAATTATGATTTTACTGGTGACATGACATCACTAGCGAGGTACACATGCCCTGCCGTCTCGCGACGATGACGTCACGTGGAGTGGTCAAGTGAGAGAGCGAGCACGGTGAAGAGTGGTATTAGAGTATAAGTTGATTTAGAATTCTTTTACATGTATTCCTCTGTTGCACAGGGATCCCTTGCTACAACAACAAGAACGTGAACATTATTGCGCGTGTGTACACCACTATCATCATAAGCATCAACATCATCAGCACCATCATCAGCAACACCACTTTAATCATCATCAACACCACCATAATCATCATCAACACCATCATCAGTATCAACAACAACCGCAATTCGTCACTATGTGGCGCTTGTTCCATACTAAGGCCACGTGAAATATCAAACGCCCGCGTGCAAGAGGTCACGTGACATACCCAGGTGTCATGGGTTGACTGATTGAGATGACTGGCCGACGCACCACCTGTGCCCCCTACTTTGCCAACTTGCTGTGCTTTAGCCACTCGGTGCTCCGCTCGTTGTGAGCATCGCTCCTCTGCCCTCCGTTGTTGCTGGAGGGCGACTTCCTCCACCTGCCCAGTAGTGTCCTTCACGAGCCTCCTCCACAGAGGTCGATCTTGATACTGCTGTTGCCAGTCATTGGCAAGTCTATCCTCTATTGGCAGTGTTGAATCTATGGCCAGTGTTGAATCTTTTGGCAGCGTTGCGTCTACGGGCAGTGCTAACCCGATCGGCAGAGCTGAGTCTATGGGCAGTGCTGCTTAATGTAAAAAGCACGTTTATTACAGTGGAGGTGTGCAAGGAGGGAGAATGTGGGGGCGAACGTCCCCCGCCATCACTGAATTGTCGGGGCCGTTGCCCACCGACTCCCCCGTTCCATTCATACCGCTACCCCCCGGCTGCTCTGTCAGGTCCAGACTATCGACCCCTAATGTCTCGCCCCCCTGTACCTCTGCCTGGGATGTCGACCGCGTTTGCATAGCTTAATTAGCGGCTCATACGCTTTGCGCTTGCGATGCGCTACATTTTTCAACGGCGGTTTGCCGCGATGAGCGCGCTCGCAAAGTAAAACCCCGTCCTGCACGGGAACAAACAGGTGCGGCGCGCCGCCGTGGGATTCCCTCCCACCCACGCTCCACGCGCTTAAGCAAAAACAAACACGCCGCGATTACTTTGCTCCGGTTTAACGGGCCGTTTACACAGCTGCGTATTCGCGCACCCCAGGCCCTTAATTCGCTACCTCGCTATTAGACAATCGCGCAAGTGCGCGACCGCCACACCGTCACACAGGCGCGCGAGCGTTAAGCGCTACTGGAGGCGATTGCGCAGGTACGCGGGCGCTGGGCACCACCGAAAATAGTCGTGTAGGTACGCGCGCGCTGAACAATACTGTAAACGATCGTACAGGTACGCGGACACCAAGCACGCTCTACTCCCTTATTCGCCGCAAACAGCCGCGTATGTGCGCGAACACAAAACACTCTCCACCCTCCTCTTCACCCTCCAAAGGACCACACGACACAGTTTATTCCCCTACCAGTTATTTTATTTACCACGAGCAACCCGTTAAGCTACGCGTAATTGTGTGGGTCAGTGGATGTCAGCCTATTCCCCTTGGGATCCTAGACTGTATTTCCTCTGCCTATCGCTCTGCTTTCTACCCTCGATCAAATAGCCAAAACTTACCTCTCTCTCTTACTCAGGCGTACTTCCACTCTGCTGCGCTGGAAGCTGTAGAAAAGCGATCCGTAGAGGGTTGAGCCTGGCTGCGCTGAAGTTCGTCACGCGGACGTCTCGAACGGCTGACTCCCCTCCTGCGTGGACAGCGATGATTTTTTTAAGAAGACTGCACCCGCTACCCTCCGCCTCGGTGCTTTTATCCACCCTAAAGGCAGTCCGGTGCTCCCGCACCCGTGCTTGCCCTGTCCATTCAGAGGCTGAGTTATTTTCGTCCCTCTTACATGCAGATCTGTGACCTTTACCTGCAACAAAAGCGTTCCGCCGGCCCCCACGCCTTGTGCTGCCTTGTCGGAATGTTCCTAAGTGCATCTTTTGGTGGAGTCCCTAATGGCATCCATATTAAAGGCGCGCTACGGTTCTCACACCCCAGGTGGCCCTGTCCATTCAGATGTTGGAATGCTCTTTCGCAAAGGCATACCGCCGTTTTCACGTTCCGTGCCATGTGTGCGTAACTGCACCCGCGGCGGCCATGCGGCCTCCGCTGTGATCAGGTAACTTTAATATCTGGTCATGGCGCTGCGGTCCGTATCAGCTGCGGGGGGAGATCGCCCAATTTCCCGGCCGCAGGAAACCATGAAACTTAATCCCATTAGGGGTTTCTGGAAGAAAACCTATCGGTCAGGTGATCTCCCCTTCCGGCTCTATGTGGGATGGGTGTGCGTTCGCGCGGGGGGGGGGGAAGCGAGTCGCGCCGCGTTGGCGTTGTCACCCCCCGGTGGTGGTGTCGCGGCGGTGGGCACGGTCCCCGACGGAGCTACTCCGCCGTGGTGGCACCACACATATATACCCAACCTCCAAGTCCACACATGCTGGCCGCTTCTACTCTGCATCCTCCAAAAAGTCCACCTCCACAAACTGCTGGGTTTCATTTCACTCTCAGCCCGCAGCCTCCTCCAGCTTCACACTGCCTGTATTGACTACTTGTAAGTTAAACTCTTGTAATGGGAAAGGCCTGTGAATGCAATTGAACGTCTTTAACCTAAACTCAATGATACACGTCTACTTGGTCTCCATTTGACTCAGTAGTGCCTAAAAAATCCACCCACACCTCCAGAAATTTCTGGGAGTTACCTCGCTCTGCCTCAGAGTCCACAGTCTCCTCTAGCTTCACACTGCCTCCATCGACGTTAAGGTCGGATTTTGGATTTGAATCTTCAACCTCACATTTCACTATCACTTCACTCTTTACCATCACTTCTTCACTCGTCATCTTCACTATTCAAATTTCACTTTAACTTCTTGACATTTCGCCTTCACTCCTGGCCACGTTTCATATCTCAAATGTTTTTCTGGTTCTTGTTTCATGAGGAATGGACTCATTATAGCACTTTGACTTTCACAAGCCAATTTCAGATTAATTTCCTGATGAATCATTTGATGCTTATTTCTCTTCCCTAACTGTCGAAAACCCTTCCCACACACAGTGCACTTGAAGGGTGTCTCTCCTGAGTGGCTTCTCTGGTGTATTTTAATATGTGATGACCGTGCAAATGCCTTACCACACAAAGTACACTTGAAGGGTTGCTCTCCTGTGTGTGTTCTCTGGTGTTTTTTAAGATATGATGACTGTGAAAATTCCTTCTCACAGACAGTACACTTGAACTCGCTAGTGACGTCATGTCATCTCCCCTGCCGCGTTAATCCGCGTGACGTCACGAGATCCCGGAAAGCTGCTCGCCACTCAACTGAGATCCGAGGTGAGAAGTTCACATCGTGGTGGTCGTCGTGGTTTTTGGTGGTGGTTGTTTTTGTTTATTTAGGTGCAGCCTCGCTTCTATTGTTCTCCTCGGGATATCAATTGAGTGTAGCAGCGAGTATGGAATAGATGTCCAGGTTGGAACGTTATAAAGTGTGGCCTAGCCATGCTGGGCTTGCCTCCTGCCATCGCCTGATTGTATTTGCTTTGATTTTTGTTTATTTTATTTGTCCTCACGTGGCTGACTACTTTAAAACCATGTTTTAAACAAAAAATATATACTACTTTGAGCTATATATCTTTCAGAAGTGACCTGCTCACAACGAAATGGCTTGTGTGTAAATTTACGTCAGCTAAATACTCTAAATGCGACCACGCAGAAAGAGAGACACGCAAACTCCAAATAAACGCGTCAGCGTCGGGATCCAACCCACAACCTCCTGTATACCGGGCGATGTAGTGAAAATCTCGCCAGCGTGGTGCACACTCGAGTGCTTTATCACACTGAGTCTCTTTACTTCAGTTCAGGAGCGTCCTGCCGAGTTGGTTTGGCAGTCGGGGGGAGGGGCGATGCTTATTCGCGTATTCCCGATTGAGTAAACTGGAGGCATTTGTTCAGCATTGCAATATTTGGACGATACCAGTCCAGAAGTTTATTTCAGAGTCAGGATACGTTTATTTTCCGAGTGAAGTCCATTGAACTAAGAAGCTTATTTTCAAGGGCGACTCAGCCGGCAGACATCAAAGCATTTAATTATTATTAAGCTCACTCACTCATCCATCCACTCATTCATCCATCCACTCGCCCACACAAGCACACTCACCTACTCACACTCACCTACTCACACTCTCCCACTGGCCCTCCCACTCGCCCTCTCACTCACCCTCCCACTTACCCAAACTCACTGGCCCACTCACAAGCAGAAGTGAATTTCACGAGTAACACCCATTGAGCTTAGACGCTATTTTTTAAGGGCGACATGGCGGGCAGACATCAACGCATTCCAAAATGACAGGTTTACAAAACAAACTTAATAGCAATTCTGTTGTAAAATTACATTCCCACTCAAACTTTAGTGATTATTAGAGTCCGTTTTAACGAGGTTTTAGATGGCAGAATTGAGATGCCAAAAAACGATACGTGGTTCCAAACGTTTGGGCAGTGAAATCTGGGAAACTTAACAAACAATCAGGCACACAGGAACCACTAGACTCGCACAGAAACCCACAGACTTGCACACAGATCCACAGACTCACATAGACAATCAGATGCACGTCGCAGATTTTTCGGATTGTCCAATGGTTTAATAAATAAAATAAAGAGCAAATCTATGGAAAAAATATCCTTGTAAATAAAAATATCACGTGGTTGATACAGACTTGATGTTCGTGTTAAATTGTACCACAAAAATGTGTGGTTAATGCAGACTTAATGCTGCCTCGCAATAGGTATTTGTTTTCAAATAGGACTATGTACTTTATTCATTTCTATTTATTTGTCGTGAATTGCTTACCTTTCATCTATTTTGCACTCCTATTGTTTTTTGTATGTTAATTGAACGTCTTTCACACCGTACGTATCCAACCATGTTTGTTTTTGTAACTTTCTGACCCGCCTCGACTGGACACCTGTGACATTCCTCCAGAAGACAGATTCTGATTTTAAAGATTCTGCTCTTAACACCTGTCTTATTGCCGAAAAGGTTGAAGCCTTTTCTTCTTTCATCAAAATAGTTGTATCATTATACATTTAAACCATGACACCAGTACACAATGGCCTACTCATGAAAAATAACGCGAGAAATAATTACTTTAATATCTATATGAAGCATATGTTGCATGTTGGTGTGTATAATATGCCTGCAATATTAATAATACAATTATTAACATTTGTAAAGTGCTGCATTTCATCCGTGGTTCCCACCAATCCGTGCCGTGTATCAAAAGTACGAAATATACACATCCTGCAGGGTAAACAGCCAGAACTCAAGCTTCATTTACCCACTAACTCAATCACTCACTCACTGGACGACCCACTCACTCCCTACTCAAGCATACAACTACTCACCCATTCTGTGACCCAATCACTCACCCACTCGCTCAGGTAAACGGCAAAACTAGGGGGGGGGGGGGGATGAAGACCAGTTTACGGAGGTGAGTTTTAAAGATAGACTTAAATATATCTCTGATTGTCTTACTAATCAGAGTGGCTGCTACATTTTACCAGAGTGGTGTACCCAGAATATTGTGATTGGTGACATTTGCAATGCGTGGGCAAAACCTTCTCTGTAACTGGGAGAGGAGGCAGTTTGACCGGTAGCATCTGCAGTCAGTCGGTGTGTGTTCCCTTATACTCAAACTGGTAGAGCTCATACTCTTTGGTTTTGTTCGGTAAAGTCACGTAGATAAAATAAAGAAAATATTTTTTGTTTTATTTTATCTACGTGACTTTACCGAATAAAACCAAAGAGTATGAATCCTTGCAGTCACGAAAGCTTCAAATCTAGAATTGGTAGAGCTCTCTTCGTGGCAAATGGCGGCTGTTGTTGCGTGCGGTAATGTAACCTATAGCGCGCTGCGCTACGAACCAGGCAACACGAGTTTGATTCCCACTCACCGCCACCAACACCAGTGACTATCTGAACCAGACTTGGGCCTCCCTAGATTGACTCAGCCTCAAATGAGTGCCTGGTGCAGTGTGTAAACATCGCCACTGGGGAAACAAAAGCGGTCGGGTGTGGTGCTGGCCATACACCCACTCACTCCTGAACTTACTGTTAAGGCTATATTGGGGGTCTGTTGCGGGTAACTATGTGTGTGTGCATTGGAATATGCTCATGTGTGTTAATGTATTTTATTTGACTGCGAGTGTAAGTTAACACGTAACCTGGATTTTAATTTGCATTTTTGGCTTCTGTTAGTATTACTGGTTTTGTAGAGGTGTTTTGGGAGTGTGTTAACGTGCTGGGTAGCTAACACACGGGTTTGTGTATTTTAATTTGTGTGTTTGTGTATATGTATTTGTTGCTTTTGCTATGCCTTAAATATTCCAGGAAGTAATCACACTCTGTTAGTGGTTGGCTGGTGCACCATCTGGTGCACCATCTGGTGACAGTGTAAACCCAGAATATTGTGATTGGTGACATTTGCACGGTTTGGGCAACCCACAGTCTAAGAGCAGTTTTAGTGCCGGGCATAATTGACTTCAAAAGGAAGGTCCTGAGGGAGGGTGGTGATTTTACACAGGTTGCAATACAGAACATTATTACAACAACATGGACTAAACGATGATCTCTGCTGGATTGGACGAAGATCTAACGTTCGACCACACTGATTACCAGATAATTAATATTCAGCTTGCCAGACCTGCAGAGAAGAAGCTTGCAAGGCCCAATTGTCCATGGCAGTTCTGCACAAATGTCATACAGTAGACCCTTGTATATCATGGGTTTTTTTTCTTGCGGTTTCGACCTATCACGGGCAACCTCTTTGCATACCAATTTACATATTATTGGGTCTTTCAGTAAAGTCACGTAGATAGGTTCAAAGAAAATAGCAAAAAATACCAATTTACACTCTCCTGGGAAGACTGTTCTGGGAAGGAGGGTGGGGTGGGTGAGGAACACGAGGAAATCGGTGGCACCTCAACCTTTGCCATGCAAGCATTTAGCCTTAACAGACTGTTAGGGCAAGTAGCATCGATAAAGGTTGGCACGGCACACAAAGGGGTAGGTTAGCAGCACCATTCCCGGCCGCCTTTGTCTCCCCAGTGGCGATGTTTACACAACACACCAGGTACTTATTTGAGGCTGAGTCGACCTGGGAAGGCCCAGGGCCAATTCAGATAATCGTCATGGTTTTGGGCGCGAGAGGAAATTGAACTCAGGTCGCTGGGTTCATAGCGCAGCACGCTAACTGAAGCACTACCACTCTCCACTCACGCACACACATCATCATCATTGCAAGTAGAGCAGTCAGTATTTAGAATCTTATTTATTCTCTTGAAATGTTTTTTTTCTATCGAGTTTCTACTTGTTTATTTCAATTGTTTTGTTTTTAGTTTAGTTGGCATGCTGTACAGTACTTATTTCAGTTGTGATGCGTATTTTTGGTTGCCTTTTACCTAAACCCATTGTTTCGGTAAGGCTTAAGTATTGAATATCGCCGTTTTGGCTTTCTTGGCACATTCCAAGAACGTAACCCCCGCGATATTCAAAGGTCTCCTGTATTTTCTGTTCATATACTACAGCACAGATGTATCGATTTTTTTAATCAGAAACTAGATCTCTGCTTTCTTGATGTAATCAAGGCCTAAGTACCATTAAGAGGCTTCGGCTTTTGGTTGTTCATTGTTTTCGATATTCCTGCCCCTCTGCTCACATTCGTTAAGGATTTTTATGATTTTGGGCAGGCCCGGAAAATACGTGACAAGGATTCGGAGCCGTTTCCTGTTCAAGTTGGCGTGTGACAGGAATTCCCTCTGGCCACAACCATTACGGTAAGTCCCCGGGTAGCGCAAGACCCTACTTACGGAAATCCAACCTGACGGAAATGCTCCCATAAATCATGTAAAAAAAATCAACATGCGGACATTTTTGCTTTAGTTACTTAAGCGCAAGTAGTCCAGCGCGGTGAGGTTGTGGATGAATAACGCTGAGCGAGGCATAAGGCAGACGGCATCTTCCCCAAGGCTGTGGTGTATAGCCGCTCTGCACTCTCAGTCATGCTGTTACATTGTTACCGTGCGTTTCCTGTATCTGTCACATCGTCTCATAACTTTCAGTGTAATATCACCCTTTATTACATTGCAATAATGACTGGAAAAGATTAAGGTCAATGGAATTGTTGTGTAGCATTGCCTAATTATTTTTCTTTTGTAGCATTATGTAATTTTGGTTTTCTGTGCTTAGAACTATCTTGTTTTTCCATGTTTCTCTTTATAGTTTTGATTAGAAGTGTATTTAATAAGTTATTTACGTTATGTACTTTATTTAACACAATTGCACTTCGATTGCTTATGGTCTCAGCCGACAGCGATCTGAGAGGTCTCGGCCTAGTCTATGCCCGGTAAATGAATATTTGGAAGTGACTGTTTTCTTTTAACAATTAATATTAGAATGTCTTATGGTGTTCATTAATATTTGGATAAGTTTTTCTTCCATTAGTTTAATTATGGGTAGTGTTAGGGTAGATATTCGATGAAATGAAAGAATAATAGGAAGTGCAGAACGTATGTACAGCAATACGATACAGGTGGCGATAGAAAACAAACTATAGCGTGATACAGTACTGAGAGAAAATGAACGAGTAATTTGGTAGGGGCGGCACAACTTTCCGGCTATGGGATTTTGTCTTGCTTTTGGGGGAAAATTGTTCAGTTCCCGACATGGGAAATTCGGGTTACGGATTGTTCCCGGGAACCTAACCCTTCCATGACCCGTGGACTGTCTGTACATTAAGATGGCATCTTCAATATTTACATAGTTTTGATAACCTCACATTGGCCCTACAAAAATACATTTGGTACAGTTACAATGAGAGGCTATTCGATGGCTGGTTATAGTTAAGGGATCGTTTCCTGCTGGTCAACCATGTTACGTATGCTGATCTGGCAATGGCTACTCAATGCGATGGAGTTAGGGACTCTTGTTCTGTACCTGTAGAATTTCATCATGAGGAGGCGCCTTACATATCTTCCAAAATAATAATGCACCTGCCTGGGTATTTCATGTCATCCAACATTCTGCCTGCTCGCCTCTTAGTGAGTAATCAGGCAGTTCTACAGGTGGTGGAGGAGCTCCCATACTTGGTTAATGTGTTGACAACCAGCTCTGGTTTGGCAGCTAAAGTTTCAATTCCTATTAGTCGAGTGCATGCTTTAATTTGACTGCCTAACATGGTGAGGAAGCTGCCTGGACCATTGCTCCATGTAAATCACTGAATCTTCTTGCCCACAACTATGACCCCTTTCTCTGGGAATGTGAAATATGCACTCCTTTAAAGAACCATCTGTGCTGGCTTATACAATTAAGGCTGGCCTGCCTATGATTCATCCTCTATTGAGCCAGACTTGATGGTTTTCGAAGCTTACAAATCCCTGAGATATCCATACAGAATATAATCAATGAGGCTATTTGGCAGGCGAGGATGCATTCGTTGGTCATGAATCCCGCATGCTCAGAAACTGCATGCTCAAGTAGTGTAAGTAAAATTTTGATTTAAAGCTTTCGTGACTGCAGTAATTCATATTCTTAGCTCTTTCGGTAAAGTCACGTTGAAGGGAAACAATAAAATAATAAAATATATAAAACAATAAAAAAACAATATTGTTTTATATATAATGTATATATATGTTTTATATATATTTTATTATTTTATTGTTTCCCTTCAATGTGACTTTACCGAAAGAGCTAAGAATATAGCGTAAGTTAGTTCGGATATGAGGGACTAAACAGGTATGGCATGGGCTAGAGAAAAGATTGGAGGATGTGGAGGTGATCGGACTTGCTGATGACTGGTACCAGGAGTGTGAAGATTGGCCTCTGCGGTGGAGGCCCTTGAAGGATGCTGCAGTGTAGTTGGAGGCAATCGTCCTGCAACAATGAGGTCAGAGGAGTGACACATAAATGGGTGGAGCGCTGGGTGGCTAAAATGCAGCAAGTTGGCACAGTGGGTAGCACAGGTGGTGCATCTGCCAGTCATCTCAGTCATCCCCTGACACCTGGATCATTCCCATGACCTACTGGCAAGTGCTCCACACTTACATGGCCTCAATTCGCACCAATCATGGCATGACCACTGTGATGATGTTACTACCAATTAGTGGTGAATGGTGGCTGTTTTCTTGATATAATCTGTTAATGATCCATGTGAAACATAGCTGTACATAAGAGTATATCTATATGGTGAGCGGAGGCAGGTTTCTTCGTTCACTGCATTATGGAGCCCACATTCAGAGTTGTATTATCGCTGAGAGCAGACATGATTGACAAGTGACAGCTTAACTTATTGTAGTCCTCTGCTGGGTTGATTGTTCCTAGGTTAAGTACTTGGTGAAGAGTATAAGCATCTAGCCAGGCATGGTTCTAGCCACAACACCACCTTCTCCGCTGTTCCAATGCGTGAGAGTGTAAAGTTTTTATTTTTGCTGTAAAGTATATTGACCATATTAAACACCTAGGTTTAATCAAAGTAATAGGTTTTTTTTATTACAGGTGTAAAGAAGCTCCTTTAGACATCCATTTTCAGGGAAGTATAGCTTTATTTCTCCGAACGTATATACAGTCCAAGTGTAACGACTGCCACACTCGTAATTGCTATGGCTATCTTCAGGGCCCGATGGTTTCCACCACATTGATACCTGAACAGTCAACCCTGATGATTTCCACAGTCGGCCCCAATGTCGTCCACCTCTACAGTGCCTTCCGGTCACCTGTTTACAATCATCACAACGCGCACCTTCTAGAACCCCCCTACACATGGAACGTTTCATAAGCATGGAAAAGACAGCACATGAAGCTGAAATTACATCTGTCCCTCCGAGCATTCAAGCAAATCTGAGCCTGGCTTCGGACTTACAAATTGCGATTGAATATTAATTTGTCCATTTGATCATATATCTGCCCAATCCGAATATTTATATTTTTAACACCATTTGCTATTTTTAGCAGACTTTTGCAATAGTTAACATTTTTTCAATAGCCAGATACAACCGAAATTCTGTATGTAGAGGTACGGGTTATCATTGATATTGAATATACTAGGGCCTCCAGGCATTATACTGACCACTTGCCTTACTATGCCAGGCCAACAGCTGATCGTCAATAGGAGCAAGTGCCATAAAACAGCCTGTGTGATAAATTTGAGGGTGATTTTTTTTATTTCTCGTTAATGTGTGAGTGTTCTTGTCCATGTAATATGTGATTATCACGTGTGACTGTATACATATGCATTTCTATGCTTTTATGCTGACATACATTGCGTGGATTTTACTGTTTTCTGTCTGCAGCTGCAAGTTCCTCTGCCACTTTGCCGGACAGAATTGGTCATATGGAGCGAAAACAATCAGCGGGACAGAAACCATTCAAGTGCACGGTGTGTGGGAAGGCGTTTGCACAACCATCATATCTTCAGGTCCACCAGAGAACACACACGGGAGAGAAACCCTTCAAGTGCACTGTTTGTGGGAAGTCCTTTGCATGGTCATCAAATCTTAAAACACACCAAAGAACACACACGGGAGAGAAACCCTTCAAGTGCACTGTGTGTGGGAAGGCATTTGCGGATTCATCAGCTCTTACAAGACACCAGAGAAGACACACAGGAGAAAAACCCTTCAAGTGCATTGTGTGTGGGACGGCATTTGCAGAGTCATCACCTCTTAAAAGACACCAGAGAATACACACAGGAGAAAAACCCTTCAAGTGTACTTTGTGTGGGAAGGCGTTTGCACATCCATCATATATTGAGGTCCACCTGAGAACACACACGGGAGAGAAACCCTTCAAGTGCACTGTGTGTGGGAAGGTGTTTGCAACGTCATCACATCTTAAAATACACCAGAGAAGTCACACAGGAGAGACACCCTTCAAGTGCACTGTTTGTGGGAAGGCCTTTGCAAAGTCATCCCATCTTAAAACACATCAGAGAATACACACAGGAGAGACGCCCTTCAAGTGCACTGTTTGTTGGAAGGCCTTTGCATGGTCATCAAAGCTTAAAACACACCAGAGAACACATATGGGAGAGAAACCCTTCAAGTGCACTGTGTGTGGGAAGGAATTTTCACTGTCAACATATCTTAAAAACCATCAGCGAACACACGTAGGAGAAAAACCCTTAAAGTGCACTGTGTATGGGGAGAACGGTTTTCGACAGTTAGGGGATCGAAACAAGCATCAAACCATTCATCAGGAAATTTATCTGAAATCGGCTTGTGAAAGTCCAAGTGCTGCAATGAGTCCATCCCTCATGAAACAAGAACCAGAAATACATTTGAGATGTGAAACGTGGACAGGAGTGAAGGCGAAATGTCAAGAAGTGAAATTGAAATTTGAATCAGTGAAGGTGAAAAGTGAAGTGACGGTAAAGTCTGAAGAAGTGATAGTGAAATGTGAGGATGAAGATTCAACTCCAAAATCCTACCTTCACGTCGATCGAGGCAGCGTTAAGCTGGAGGAGACTGTGGACTCTGAGGCAGAGCGAGGCAACCCCCAGCAATTTGTGGATGTGGAGGTGTGGGTGGATTTTTTAGGCAATACTGAGTTAAATGGAGACTAAGTATATGTGTATCATTGAGCTAAGAAAAACGAAGTTCCATTCCATTCACAGGCCTTTCCCATAATAGAGGTTTTTTGGGTTAGATCGCGTAAACAGAACATGCCAATTCATCACTAGTACAGCACACCGGTGTGTTGGAGAGCCAAGCCACAACATTTACAATCTGAGTGATGTTTCGCCAGTCATTACAACTAGCTTCATCAGGCGACAGCCAGATTTGTGCCTTTATAATTGCAAGCGTTTAACCTCCAAGTGGTCAATAGAAATAGCCTGAAGCTGGAGGAGGCTGCAGACTGAGAGTGAAATGAAACCCAGCAGTTTGTGGAGGTGGACTTTTTGGAGGATGCAGAGTAGGAGCGGCCAGCATGTGTGGACTTGGAGGTTGGGTAGATCTGTCAGCAGGAGTAGGAGACAAAAAGGCTCCACAGCATTCAACGTGTTATAATAATATTTATATTAATAATTGGCGCTTGCATAAATGTGTTATTTCTTTCTCGCTGTACGTAGCCAATCTTGCTAATCAAAGGTGAAATGCTTCAGCAACTACAAGCGGCTTGTATCATATTTAATCTCAATCGTTCGACGGCTAGCCCAAGTGGCAGCTGTCCTTTTGTGGTAGAAGGTGACTCAGTACTGACCTGCACGTGGACATGAGCCTGCCAGTTTGGTGGAGCGATGATTGATGTGTAACCCCAGTCGGGTCGTTTGTGGCTAATCTTTCTAATCTGGCAAATTTTGACCCTGACACCATGAATGTTGAACATCCACTGTTAAGCAGATTTTTGGTCAATATTGCTGCAGTAATCATGAGGGCTGCTGGACAGATGTGAACTTTGAAACTCTTTTAACAAATATCAACCGTGCTATCACTTCTCGCATTCTAAGAATGCATGCAGGTGTAGTCATCCATTCAGAGATCAGTGTACAGTAAATGCACTGTAATGTGATGCAGTTTATTTCAATTCAATTATTGAATGTTGGCGATGCGTCTCTTGGTAATTTAGAGTTATAATTTTAACACATGATCTGATTCTGAGCATACACAGCAAAAGCTCTTATCCAGCATCCATGGGGAATCAAGGGTGGTGCCAGTTCATCAAATGTGCAGGTTGTCTGAGAGGTATACTTTATGGTTCAGCAAAATTCTCAAATGTAAAAACTTTTTTACGAAGAAATTAAGCATACATTTTAACTGATATTCAAAATAATTTACTATTTTACAGAGGTACTCACCAGTCATTTGTACAGCATTTTAAGTTTACTGTAGAGAAGCAGTGGTGCTGTTTAGATTACAGTGTACAGTAGTGCAGTACTGTATGTACAAGTACAGTGAAACAATTAGGTTAGGCAGCCCACAACACGATCACAATGGCCGATTGCAGATTGCAATTGCGACTCCATTTGTGCCACCACTTAGCAACGTCATGAAGCACGCTGCAAGATGCCAGTATTTTTCTCGATATGTGAAGTTATATTTATATTGCCGCTTGACAGATGCCGGTTAATAGAGCATTCCGCATGGTAAAGTACGTGATAGCAGAGATTTTGCTGTACGTGCCATTTGGAATAAAATGGTCATAAATGGAATGTCCTAAATAGACGAACGTTTGTTTTGACAGTAACCTGTGCAGGACATTTACGTGACTGCTGTTGTTCATGTGATACAGGATCAAAGATATTTTTTGTAGCTTAGGATCCATATCCCCCAACTCAATGTTTGTCTTCGAAATCACGAATATAGTACACACAAGGGAAACACTGAAATGTTACATAAAGGAGATATTTTCTCCACAACGCTAATTATGTTGTCTTTTCATACCTAATTAACGTGATTATTTGTCTGCCTGTCTGTCTGCTATGCCTATCTTAACTTTTAACTGACAAACTGTTGGGTTTACATTTCAACAAAGTACACATACAACAAACTAAGCCCCCGGACGAAAACTCGCTATTTGTTTTTGCCCTTGGTCCAATGTAAACTAATAAAATCACAAACGCTTTCGTTCTATCGGTAAAGTCATGTAGGCATGAAATAAATCACGACGTTTCTGGCGCAACACATGCGTCCGTCATCAGTTGTGAAAGCATGGTCTGTTGCTGAGGCAGACTAAAAGGTTTGAAATTGGTGTAGCCCAAGGGTCATTAAGAAGTGTGTCCGGGGCTAGTGATGTTGATGTGAGAAATTAGCATGTAACTGTCAGATAGGAGAGCCGCCTCCTCGACGAGGGCATGGAAGTGGCTATGTTAATGTGAGAGATTAGCATGTTAATGTGAAATCTAAGAGTAGTGCAATCCAAAAGCATAAGTGCAACCCAACGGGTGCAATCCAAAGGGCAGGTGAGTATGAGAGTGCAATCCAAAGGAAATGTGAGCATGAGAGTGCAATGCAAAGGACATGAGCATGAGAGATCTGAGAGAGAGACAGAGAGTCATAAGTAACAGCTGACATAGGCAGGTAGGATGGAAACATCACAGTCAGTTAAAACTCTACCTGGTTAATAACGTCCTTCCAATGATTGCTCAGTTTGTACCCATTTTTTGGTTGAAGTTGTGTCTGTGTTATATATCTGGATGGCTTCATGAACAAATCTCTGAAGGTAGGTTTGCAGAGAACCTCCGTCTTGGAAAAATCTAATTCGTGTGAGCCCACAGTGTTAAAACAAAGATCGGCAAACGGCAGAGGTATTTGTCCTACCGTGTTTCAGATCTGTCTTTTGTTCACGAACGCGGTCCGAGACATGTCGTTTCGTTTCCCCACTGTAACTACTGCTGCAACCACAACTCAGTTTGTAGACACCTGGGTATTGCATGTCAGGAATCATCCTTTAGAGATGGGATTAAATCACGGATTTTGTGTACTGTGTTGAAACGAACCTGGATCTTGTGTTTGTTTAAGATTTTGGGAATCTTTTTGGTAACCCCTGCTATGTATGGAAAAGTTATTGTTTTGGTTGGATCCTCAGAAGGTTGTCTCCGCATGGCTGGAGATTCAGCTTTGAGGATTGTACGATCCGAGTATCTGTTCATCCTGAGGGCTTCATGTACGTGCTCCAACTCACTGGCTATGTGGTGCTGGTCGGAGATGCAAAGGGCCCTATGGTGTCGTGTTTTGATGAGGGAATTTTTCTGGGCTGGATGGTTGATGGTGGGAGTCAGGCTTTAGATAGGCATCCGTGTGAGTGGCTTTCCTGTAGACCGAATGTCCCAACGAGCCATCAGGTCTCTTCTCGATCAAAACATCCAGGAATGGTAGGTTGCCATCCTTTTCCACTTCCATGGTGAATTTGATAGACGGGTGTATGGAATTGATGTGGTTGAGAAATTGGTTCAGTGCTGGCAGGCCATGTGGCCAGATGACGAATGTGTCATCCACGTATCTCTTCCACAAGGAAGGACGTAGGGTGGATGTCTGCACGGCATCTGTTTCAAATTTCTCCATGAAAACATTCGCTACCACTGGTGATGAGGGAGAACCCATTGGGGTGCCTTCAGTTTGTAGAATGTACCATTCCAGGTGAAGTATGTGTTGGTAAGGCAGTGCCTTACCAAAGTTGGTACATCTGGTTTCCATCCTTAGATGGACCAAGTCTTCAATGATTGCAATGGTGTCAAATACAGGTACATTGTTGAACAGAAAGACTACATCGAAACTGACAGGCAAATCATCTGGAGACAGTGAGATGTCCTTGATTAGAGAAACCAAGTGAGCTGAGTTTAGTACAGCTGAGGTGGACTTGCCCGTGAAAGGAAGCAGGGTCTCAGAAAGAAATTGGGCCAGTTTGTAGGTGAGTGAGTTAATGGTGGAGGCGATGGGATGGAGCGGGGTACCTACTTTGTGGATTTTTGGAAGGCCATATAATCTGGGTGGTCAGCAGCCGAAGGATTTAGAGAGCTCTGCTTGGACTGATCGATTAGAAAAGTCGATTTAGTGATGATAGTTGTTTTTTTTAGCTAGGCGGTTGGTGGGATCTCTGTTGATATTGATATAGCTGCCATCATTAAGGTCCTGAATTTTGTTGTAAGTGGTTTTATCCATGATGACAGTGGCATTGCCCTTGTCGGCTGAGAGGACGACAATGTCATCTCCGTTTTTTCATTTAGAGAGTTCGAAACGCTCGTTTTGCTGATGTTGCTAATGGGTTTCTTAGCGTTTATCAGGATAGCGATTTCAGATCTAGCAAAGTCTGCCGGGATGTGTCCCAAGCCATTGAGGGCTACGTCGACCTGGGCAATTATATCATCCACTGGGATGTGTTTAGGGGTGACTGAAATTCAACCCATTGGCTCGTACTGATTTTAGACTGTTGGAAATTGGGATGCTACTTTGATTTATGACAATCTTGTTAGCATCTAACTTTTTAACCTGTGGCTCCGGCTTCTTTTTTGACAGGAGGTTGAATTTAGCGATCAAGTTAACTTTACATTTGGTTTGACATTGAACTAGCAGAAGAAACTGTCATGTTATCTACATGGTCCCAATCAGAAGTGGACATCTTATCTGTTTATTTTAAGTGTGATTGTAACAGAGTCTTCTCTAAATTATCAAGTTCAAATCTGGAGCAATCTTATTCTCTCTGAGATTAGCGATAGGCGAGCTTTAAACAAGATCTGTTTAGCGGTAGGAGACGTGACAGCAGCAGATGTGAGTGTAAATGCGACTGGTATTGTTATCGCGGCATCTCTTGAGAAAGGTTAGCGACTTAATCAGGTGAGCCTTCTTGTCTCGCAGTCTATTAAAAGCTCTAACAGATGTGTGGAAACCCTCCCCATAGAGATGGTTCAATCTGATTTGAAGCTTTCGTGACTGCAGGAATCCATATTCTTTGGTTCTTTCGGTAAAGTCACCCATTTCAAACATTTTTAAAACAGTCTGCCTCAGCAGCAGACCATGCTTTCCCATCTGATTACGGACGCTTGTGTTGCGCCCGGAACGTGATTTATTTTATTTTATACCTACGTGACTTTACCGAAAGAACCAAAGATTATGGATTCCTGCAGTCACGAATGCTTCAAATAAAATCACACTTTGTAACAATGTACGCTGATCAAAATGATAACTTTGAGCGTGTGCCAAAGCACACTTCTGCGCATGCATTTATAGGGACATCGCCGGATGTCACCATACTGTAGTGCAGTACCGGGCTTAGAGGAGTACGGTGTGTGTGTGCCGGCCTGAGGACAAGGTCGGCTGAGCTCATGGCAGCCTGGGTGACCCGAGAGGACACGTGACCGGACGGGTTGACGGGGGCTCCCAGAGGGGGTGTGAGGGTCACGTGATAGGGACCGAGGTTCCCCGGGAGGTTTCCGGAAGGGGGCGTGGCCAGGGGCGGAACCCGGCCACGCCGCAGGGGATATAAGCCAAAAGAAACCCTTCGTCTTCGATCTTCGGTCTCCAGTCTTCAGGCACGCAGACCAGGCAGCATGTTGGCGGTCCTGGTCTGAAGTTGTTAGTTATCCCATAACCTGTGTAGTTAGCCGGAGTGGTCACCACCCCTGGTTGTTATCTCGTTAAGAGGTAGAGTTACCCCGGTGTGTTAATAAATGGGCTGCCTCCAAGTTGAAGTGCGCGACTCAGTTGAACCCACTGCACATGGATACGCCAACTCGCCGTTGCCCCTAGCAACGCAAACAAGCTTTCTGAGTGGCGACGGGAGGGAGGTTCTCCTTCGCGTTAAAACTTACAAAATAAATCAAGCACAGTTGCTGCTGCACAAGCACACGCTGAGGTAAATCCTGAACAGTGCGATGTCCCCCCCACCCCAATGTGCATTTACTTCAAAAGTCAGTAGATACTACCGTAGTCAGTAGATACTACTGAGAGTCAGTAGATTCTACTATAGAGTCAGTAGATACTACTGTAGTCAATAGATACTACTATAGAGTCAGTAGATACTACTGCACATACATAATGTGCATAATGTACGTTGACTCAGTAATCCCCCCCCCCCCCCCCCCCCCCCCCCAGATTTTGCACAAGAATGGCGTAGCGTGGTGACCACATCTGCGCCTCTATATAAGGAGTGAAACAGACTTATCCACAAATCTGGCTGTCGCCTGATGATGCTAGTTGTAATTACTGGCGAAACGTCGTACTCAGATTGGAAATGTGACTTGGCTCTTCAACACACCGGTATGCTGTACTAGTGACGAATTGACATGTTCTGTTTAAATCACAACCCTTACTAGTTTGCTTTGTCGGATGGTGGCGGGTTTTAATGACACATTTATATATTAATGTGATCTAACCAAAAAAAAGAATGGATTTGTGTATGTTTATGTTATGTTTTTTTACGAGAAGACAAGTTTTGAAATTAATATATTTTTCCACCGGGCAAATTTGGGTACTTCCTCCTAGTGCAGTGGTTCTTAACCTTATTGGAGGTACTGAACCCTGCAAGCTTTATCAGTGCATTCACCGAAACCTTCGTAAGTGGAAAAAAAATATGATTTCTTCAAAACATAAGTATATATTTTATTAGTGCTCAAAATGAACCATGCATCAGTTGCACACAAAATCACTGTTCAAAGAACAAAACCAACAAAACATGAATTTCACGCAAAAACATAACTCAATGAATATTTACTGCAAATCAATGGGACTTTTGCTGTTGCCTTTCAGATACAAGTTCAGAAATGCGCGGCTTCACCTTGGCAAGTGCCACTCTCATATCATTTTCGCAACAAAGTCCGTTCCTTTTCTTAGTTTTTATGTCTACCATGTTCGAAAAAGATTGCTCGCAAAGATACGTTGTAACAAACGGTGTGAGTATCTCAAGGGCTTTCTTAGCAATAAGAGGGTAGGGTACGATTTGGTGATACCAAAACGTTGAGAGCGTTATTG